GGTCAGAAACCTACAGGAGTAAAGAGCTAATGAGATCGTGCCGGTAGGAGGCACACGAGACAAAATGTGAGTTTCGCCGTTCTGAGTGCTTCAAATGAGGTAAAGGTGTCCACGCCAGGGAAGTATGTAGAAGCAGGCAGATAAGGTTGAGCTCGCGAAGCCTAGAGAAAACGAGGTAATGGATGTTGACATGTCACAGTTCTGAGTTCAGACGACAAGGGGCGACTTATGGTTAGTTTGGGACTAGCATGCGTGCCACTGAGCTTTCAAATGGACTCCGCAACACTTATAAACTTGCAAACCTAAGAGAAATTGGGAGTCCCGAAGAGTGTTAAAGTGAGCAAACGGTTGAGTGCTTTTGATAGAAATCCGGCCAATAAACTGGGGTGTCTGACGGGGTGTAAATTTATAATAGACTGTCATACATGACGTAGACTATGTGATTAAAAGTATCCGGACACGTCCAAAATGTTGTTATGGTGTGGTCGTGTTTTTCATGAAGGGAGCTGGCACCCATTATTGTTTTGTGTGGTACTATCACGGCACAGGTCTACGTTGACATTGTTGATGAATGTATCATCAGTCCTCACTTCTTACTCGAATGTTTGATGGGTGTTCTGTATCTGAATTTTATAACTCAGTTGCTCCCTAATCTTGGAGAACGTTCCGTCGAATGTGCGTGCACAGACGTGGCACTAGCATGATTTATTTCACGGAGTTCGGGAATACCTTCCAATCTCCACATAGGTGAATCAAACGAGGAGGTCCAATAGCATGCTTGCCTCGGTTTTTAGATTCGAATCTGCAGGAATTTTTCTAAGTTAATGAAAGAGCACATTTATGCTACCGAAGACGTGGATCGTGATGGCCTTCTCCGGCGCATTGAATGTGTGGCGGCAGAAATAGAGGGACAAGGCGGCATAGTTGTGCACGGAACTGATGCCTATCTTGCTTTCACGCAGGATGAGATCATTTTGAACCCTTGTAGTGCTCCTGTTACCCGAGGTGAAAATGCGAAACTTGGGCTGCTTACGCAAATATTAAAAAGATATCCTAGATAATGCATAAATAATAGTTTTGTCTCGCATCTTTCATATTCATTAGGTTAGTAGATAATAATAGCAACAGGGAACGATAATGTAATATTTGGGCTATCTTTATTCAATAATAACTAATGACAAAAATCTTTTTTTTTCAATAATTTGAATTGGATTCACACTATTTTCTTTTGCATCCATGAATAACTTTAAGTTCTCTATCACAGGCTCCTGTATGAGCAACGAGGACTGAATACACTTTTCGCTAAACACTAAGAAACACGCTTGGAGGAGCACACGCACTGATGTCATATCTCAGGCATATTTTGGGCACAGGTGAAGGATATGTGCGGATATGTGGGAAAATGAAGAGGATGCCGAATTCACAAGAACTGTTTTGCTCTCTTAGACCAGGCCTGCACAGCATTTTGCATTTCCGCTGACCTCGGGGACTGCGCGCAAGCCACTCGAGTGCAAATCCAGGAACCTAAGAAGGGCGGAAATGAGACCCACTCTAGGAGTGGGGATCACCAATGAGACTGCGCAATTCGAACCGTAAGGCGTTACTTGAAATAGCAATCGTCGAGAAAATGACGGACTGTTACATACAGTTCATGTAATATAGCCTTTGCATTATATTGGCAATATGTTTTTGACTATAGGTGTCATTGTGAAATATAAACCTAAAACGAATTAGACATACCTACATACTTGGTTTGGACACCAAGTAATAGTGGCGTACCGTTCGGGCCCGCAAGGCCCTCAATGCAGGTAGGCCCAGGTAAAGAGGTCTTCTTTTAGGGGATGTTTTTATTATTTAAGGAACTAACACTTCTTGTGATTGCTATACACTTTTGTTAAGGGGGTCCAAACAAAACTTTTGCGGGTGGGTCCGAACTCATTTCCTTACGCTACTAAGTATTAGAATTCCTTATAGGACAAATACACTAATTCACTTTGCTACAATGTAATTACAAATTTAATGTGGTGCTAAACACAAAATTGTAATATTGAATCGTTTGACGAGACAGTAATAAACTATTTATTCATTTACTATTTTTAATTTAAAAATAGTTACATCAAATCAAAAAAATCTTGAAAATCATTATTTCTTTCTGCTCTAATTTTTAACAAAAGGGCATTATATATTTCTAATATCAGATCAACGAACACCATTTTTTCAATCGTTTATAACGATATATTTAAAATATATTAACTACATTTCATGAGTATAACGTCCATAAAACATTAATTCATGTTCACTGGCGTATAAATCTTAATAAATATCTCCTTCATTAGTCATACTGAGCAATATTCAGTATATCAGACATTTTCGTTAGGTATACTCACATAATTTCCTTCGCTTAGATATAACAATGCCTTGTTCTCTTATGCTCCCAGGAATACCAAAATGCAACCCTCATGCTGATTGATCTTTTACATTCTTAATTGTCGGATTCGTTAATTTTTATGTTGATCGGTTTGTTGCATTCACTTTTTGATGATTACATACTCATAAACTTGACTTAATTGGTCAACTTTTGAAACGGTTTCGTTTTGTGTTATATACTATTGTGACGTCATGGATACTCTCAGCAAACACAGACACGGGCTTTCATATTAACAAATATTTATTTACAAGAAAAACACAACAAATATTTACAATGAATTTACGCTTTATACCCTAGCTCTCATTGACCTGCTATCCCTAATCGCGGGAACGATCCCAACCCGACTGATGATCGGTGTCAATTGTGGCACTCGCTATCCTACCTCTGAAGCTCGCACAAAGCCTTATTTCGTAACCGGAAGGTCACACTATGACACAAAGTCCATACCGGTGATGGTTTGCCTTGATCGTAGGGGCGATCTTACCCGATTGAGAATCGGTGCGAGTCGTGGCTCTCAACCACTCACGGAGCATGCACACAGCATCGGTCCCACGTGACTGCAGTCACACAAGGACACATTGTCCACACCGGCGCGTCAACACGTGACTTGCCTTGCGAGCCCTGCTCGCTGCTGCACCGCCGTGGTGCCAAGTTTGTGCATTGCACGAGGTTCTCCCAATGTGTCCAGAACCCACCCACTGGCTCTGTGCTATCCCTTATATACTTGAGGCTCACGTGACATACTACGGCACGCCACCTCTGCATCGCGCTTCAGCTTGCCCTGAGGTTTGGGTCTCTTTTCCCTAAGATCGGAGGACCCCAAAGCCTCTGTCACGTGCTTGCTTTTAGGAAAAACTCTTCTTTCTTCCTGTGGCGAGACGGTTTCCTGTTGCTAACCCCTTACTTCCCGTCCTCAAATATCTACCACGAGGTTCGCTCGCTAGTATGTTTTATATATAT